GCACTTGTTTCTAATAGCTTCTTGTTACTACTAGTAAGGCACTTGTTACTAGTAGCGATGCACTTGTTACTACTAGCTTCTTGTTACCACCCTTGCTGTATATATTTAAGCAATGGCCTCCAACCTGCTAGCGAACTATTAGCAATGGCCTCCAACCTAGAAGCGATGTGGCTCAATGCCTCTCCCTGGTCCGTCAAATCTCACTTCATCATCGTTCTCCCTGAGCTATGTGGAGACCCCCCAGGCAACGGCCCCCTTGGAAGGTTCGGGAAATAGACCTGTCTACCCATTGGTTGAGAGTCCCCCTAATACACTCCAATATCAGCCAATGGCCGAACGAAGAGGCTACGCCGTCCACCAATTCGATCGCCATGAGGCTACGCATGGCTCATATCCTGATCACCAGCTATGTGGCGATGCTTTGGAGTTTGCTGGTGGTCTTGGCGGTGGAAGAATATCGAGACAGTTTTTTGCCCAGCATCTCGAATCTTGGGAGGATGAAGAGGTCACCCGCACGACCGGGGGGCACTGGGACCCTGATTGGATGACACCTTACACGAGTCCTGAAGAGATGGAAATGGCCTCCAACCTACTAGCGATGGCCTCCAACCTAAGAGCTTACACATGTCTTGAAGAGGTGGGAAAAAACAGAGTGGATCTTCTGGAGACCATGTTCATCTACCTTTGCGGTGGAAGACTCATGTCGTTGGGTTCTTTTCCTGCCGTGACCAGCGAGTTTGGGCTGCACACAAACCAATGGTCGACAGGATGTTTCCCAGCCAGGAATATACTGCGTCGAAACGTTCCTAGTAGCATTCTTGCTACTGGTAGCAATGCCAGGAGCTACGTTTGTAGCGTCCGATCGCTACTAGTAGCGATGCCCTTTGTTACTAGTAGTTTGAAAACCTGTAGAATTACAGTGTAGAATCAGTAGATCCAAAAGAAATGGATAACACTAGGTTCTGGAGACAACGGGCTCCGGTGTCCAACTCCTTCCGCACCGAACTCGTGGGTTCTATACGGCAGACCCCTGGAACCCGAGTGGTTCCTCTTTATCTTGGACCTCTTGTTGAGTGGTTTAAACCTTTATCTTTAAAGATAATGATCCTTATCTTTGCACATCTGCAAAGTGTTTTTTTTGAGCCAAAGCGCATTTGTGACATGCGATACACGTCTCAATTTGTGCCAAAGAAGGGGTGCTGCTTTCTCAGGACCAAGAGTCGGATTGCTCGATCCAAAACCGGTTCCTCGATCGGCTCCACCCCATCACTACCCACCAGGACGCTGCTGGGCTGCTTCGGCTTCGTCCAGCACTGGATTCGTCCGGCCACGTGGTGTCCGGCACCGCCCAGCTGGACCATCGAGGCCTTGCTGCCCAGTTGGCTGCTCTATCCCTTCCTCAGGCGCGCGCTTCCGCGCGGAACCCGGTGGCGGTCGAGGTGGGCGCTAAAACAGCCTAGCGAGTGCGGCGAGTTCAGCGTGGTTTGGCGTAGGAGTCATGCACTTAGCTACTAGTAGCTTCTTGCTACTAGGCTACTAGTAGCGATGCACCTTGTTACTAGTAGTGATGCCCTTGTTGCTAGTAGCGATGCCCTTGTTACTAGGAAGATCTGTGGAAATAGAGAGGTTTTCTGTTGAAGGTTCTACCCCAATTGAGTTGGCGGGTGACTTTCATGCGTTGACAGTGCAGAAGGTGTGCCTTTGCAAAGCTCGCTCTTGGGCCAATCACGTTTGAGATTCGCTGTAGATCCCAATAGAACAGAACGGTTCTAAGTTCTAAGTTCTAAGCCTAAGCTAACTGTTCGGGCCCTCCCTAGAATACGGTTCTCCCAGACGTCCATCAACCAGACGTCGGGTGCAGCTGCTCTCTCCCTTGTGAAGCCTCCTGAATCCAAGCGACGATCTGCGGCACTAGGATCCTTGTGGCACGACTGGAAGGACGACCTGGAGCACTAGTAACTGCGACCGGGAAGCGGGGCAGGAGGAGGGGGCGGGATGGAGGGCACATGACCTGGGTGGGGTGGGTTGTCCGCCCGGCAACGACTTGGGAATGGGGTCAAAACTTGCATTGCTTTTTCATTGGGGGGGTGCAAGGACATCGTCTTCTCCAGACTGGGTAAGAAGGTCAGCTAGCTTCGTCTCGACTCTGGCTGATACCGCGGCGTAAAGACCTGGAGCCCTGGTCCAACATGTATACTTGAAGTTTCTATACCGGTGCTCTGCGAATCTTTACGCGTCCCGGTCAAGTCTCCCCTGCAAGTTTGGGGCTGCGGAATGTCCATCTTGACAAGGAGGCCTTAGTAAGACCCAATCCTGAGGGGTTTCATTTGACAAAGTATTAGGTATCCAAAGGTACGCATAGGCCTAAGGTATTAGGTCTTGAGGCCTGAGGTACTTTGGTATTTGACGTCAGGCATCAGTTCTTAGGTCTGTGCCCCAGTTGACCTAGGCAAATGAGCTGAAGGATCAACATTTCAAGATGTGAGAGACTTCTTCGAGTTGTATTTGAGGGGTCCAACTTTCAGATTGAAACGAGGGATGGTCAGAACAGGCTAGTATGCATAGCCAGTAGGGAAAAGCCACCCAAACCCACAGGGGATTCACTTACGTCCCACACCGGGCGGCCAACAAACCTCAGGAATTATTCGTGCTGAGGTGATGTGGATGTTGGTGGTCTATGCCATCTCTTTTGGACCACTCCTATCTCTCTATTTGCTTCAGGATGGACACCTCAACTGGGGACAGCTGCTTGACCAGGTGCTTGACAGGTTGGCCATGAAGGGCCAAGCTTCGTGGGAGGAACCGGTACAGAAGAGTGAAGCATAGTGCCAGTAGGTTGCAGGCCATCGCTATGTTGGAATGAAGCACAGTCAATCGACTCACCTTCTTATCAGGGTGAGGTGGATGGCATGAAGGCATTGTCTTTGGACTAGCTTCGGAGCGATGGCCTCCAACCTACTAGCGATGGCCTCCAACCTATTAGCGATGGCCTCCAACCTATTA